ACCAGTACGGTTCACGACAAACAGGTCGGAGCAAACCAACAGGTTGATCCAGGAGTTCGTGCGAAAGGAAAATAATGGTAAGAAAGTCATAGATAAATTTCCTTTTTGCGTCTCCTTGGCAAAGCTGATCAACAACCACAAACAAGAAATAGAGCTTGCAATTATTGGAAGTGGCGAGTATAAATTTCGGGAAGGTTTTCGATTCTTGGAAGTCTCGACTGAGAAGTGGGCAAAAATGCGCGAAGATCAGAGGAAAAATGCCCTGGAAAGAGTGCACAATGTAGATCTAGACCACCATTCTCGCTCATCTCGCGACGTCATTACACCGTTCGTTCGTTCCAGCACAGAACCAGTGGTTAATGATATCGTTGACGCCGGTTTAGATTGGATTGCACGGGATCTTTTGTCAACCATGGTCGGCAAAGCAATAAAGTTGGCAAAAGAAGACGGTAAAGTTATCGTTCAAGGTAATCAAACCTACATCGTTGCTTCTCAATCTAATGAATGAATGCCCCACGTCGTGAATGTTTACGCCAATGGAATGACCAAGTGCGACGACAAGTGTCCTTGTTACATTTCGCGCAAGATATGTAAGCATACAATTGCCGTCAACCTGAAATTCAAGAAAATGGCTGAGTATCTTCGCTGGTTCGTTAGCACTCAAAGACGTTCCGGTGGAGTGAATTTTTCGAAAGCGATAACATATGGAATGCCACAAGGACGTGGGAAGAAAGGTGGTCGAGCACCGCGAAAGAAAGGTAGCAGAGTAGGTCAAACTGTAACGACAATTTTGCCTAGCCCGTTGGTGCTTCCCTCACGAAATACTCCTGGACCCAGTCAAACAACCAACTCGTCCATTTCCGAGCATCCGCAGTTCACTGACCCACACCTTACTCCCACAACGCTATTTCTTCCGCAACAGAATGATTTGTCCATAGTTCAACCGCAGTCTATTGACCCACACATTCCACCTTCAACGCTATTCCAGCAGTTATCAAGCCATGCCATGAACACTTTCGGTCATCCTCAAGTAACCCAATCCACTTTTACCAACACCGTTCAACCAAGAGCGTCTACCAACGCACATCCACCAACACAACAGGTCGGTTACCCAAACCAATACCCGGACAATTTTTAATATATCTGTTAAAATTTTGTCCTTCGTCAACTTCTACATGCTTTGGATGTGGCAATTCTCTACTTGACGCTGGTCGCATTCCAGTTCCACCAAATGATTTAGTTGTTGTATCCAAAATGCCACGTGAGTATTCATACCAAGGACAACCGAGGAGTAAAGTAGGTAATGTGTACTTTCACTGCAATTTGTCGTGCGTCAGGCGCAAAGAACGAAACTTTCATTCGTACCAGTTATGTCCAATCGCTCCAGCAATTCAAGCAAACCTCCAGTTTATCCATGGACATCATTTGAGGAATAATTTTGGAATTTGAGAATGCAACGGACATAAATTAGTATAGGGGCTTTATGTATTTTATTTGCTTTTAAAATGAACGTTTTGTTAGGGTATAGCGAGGACTTAGATAGCTATACAACATTGCGATATACTTGTCTTAAAAAAATTTTGTGGCATGAGCCAACCTTGATCATATGAATAGATAAACTGGTCATTATTCTCGTACACTATTTTGTTATCCGTCTATCCGTTTATCCATCTTTACGCGTGGATTGTAGATGTATGTTTGTTTAATTCAAACTTCTTCATATGTTTCATGTATTAAGCTGGGGGCATGAGTATGACTAAAGTTAACTTGACTAATATTTCAATTTGTGAGAACCACATTCCGATACTTGTCTTTTTATAATTGAATACGAAACATTGATGAGCCATTTTACATTTTTTTAATCATTGTCAATTAAGAAAATTCTGATCATATGAATATATTATCCGTTTATCCGTCTATCCGTTTATCCGTCTATCCGTTTATCCGTTTATCCGTCTATCCGTCTATCCGTCTATCCGTTTATCCGTCTATCCGTTTATCCGGTATCCGACTATCCGGTATCCGCCTATCCGGTATCCGTGTTTTCTACCATGCCAAGCAAGATTTATTATCGATGTTTTGGCAGGCCAGGCTTAGACGTTCAAATGTTTGTAAATGATACTTAAATACCTGGGACCGGTTGTGTAAAACTCTTAACTACATTTAAGTAGATAAATCGTAGTTAACTAGAAAATACATTATTCTGATTGGCCAATTCTGCCCCTAAACGTTAACTACCTTTTTATACAACCGGCCCCTGAATGTGTCAACTGACGACTGACATTATGAACAATACAAATCAGTACTATAATACAACTAGTTTTTTTAAGGCTTTCGTCGGAACTAGAACACTGCACTCCGCAGTCGATATATACAAGCATTGATACAGTAATATGTCACGCCGTGCGGATTGTTAGGCTATACCTATAATCGCGGTACGGCGGGAATTGTGATTTGTGATAATAATGTAAATGCATATTATTTATTTTTATTTCGAGCATTTAGCGTTTAAAATTTTGATAACCTCTTTTAGCACACTATTATAATGTTCCAATTAATGTACGCCAAAAGGTATGTTTCCACCCATTCCATACTTGGATTTAACAAACCTGTTCCAAATAGGCCTGTGTGGATCCCTTGAAATAAAAATTGTATTGAGTAACTCTACGACGGTCATATATGGTGAGCTATTTTTCATGCAGATGGATAAGGCATGCACACAGCTGGCATCTAATATAACTGGCTTCTTTCCAAGCTACTTTTGCGGACGCAAGCTGCCATTAAAACACTTCTCAGCAAAGGTGTTCGCTTTTTAAGCTCTCCATCAAGTTTTGTTAAGGAGAAGTTAACAATATCCTCTTTAACAGTTTTGCGCAAAATACTTGGATTCTTTCATAGTAACATGTGCATTAAAACTTATAAAACCATGTAGATATTGTTATGGTTACTGGAACTGCATAAGAGGGCTGTCCTACAATTCAATATTGCCGTTGTCAGAATAGTAAATGAGGGTGAATAAACTAGAATATGAAATATTTTTAATACACTACAGCCGTGTACATAATAGTATACCATCAATCCTGCGTGCTGGATAAAAATTGTGTCGAGTGAATTGTGTACGACTGTCATATATGGTGGGTTATTTTTCATGCAGATTGATTGACAAGGCCATGCACACAGCTGGCATCCAATATAACTGGGTTCTTTCCAAGCTACTTTTGCGGACGCAAGCTGCCATTAAAACACTTCTCAGCAAATGTGTTCGCTTTTTAAGTTCTCTATCAAGTTTTGTTAAGGAGAAATTAACAATATCCTCTTAACCAGTTTTGCGCAAAATACTTTGATTCTTCCTTGAAAACATGGCCGCACACTCTCGATCTATCCCCTTCAAAAATAAAATGATGATCTTTTCTCTGATCTTTTCACAGAACCAGGCTGCCCGGGCAACTTCTGTGTATGTTCCTCTGCACAACATTTTACCCAATGATTTTCGATTTCCCCGCAAAATTCGAGACGAAGTTTTGCTTTTCCATCGCCCTTTAACGGATACAGTGATACTTGAAGCGTCAACATGTTCATGTTGCCGTCTTTGAGGCGTCGAAGTTGATTTAGGTTGAAAATATTCAACAGGAGACGAAGAACAGTGTGTGTTTTCGCCTTGACGAACAATAGGTAGAGTTACTGGGTCTTCATTTCCATCAAATAACAATGTTCATTTGGCAGTCGCCTTTGTTTTATCCATTTATCCTTTGTCCTTCTTTTTCACGGTATTAACGCAAAAGATTGCTGCAAAAGTTTTGTCTTTGCGGCAGAGTTTTCAGGCACGCACTACATATATGCTGAGAGGTTGAGTGAACGGCAAAAAAAAGGTCTTCAATCTCTTTAATTGTCAAGTGCCCACTTAATTTCGATCATAAGGTTTTGTTAAAACTGAAAACACAGAATGCATGAAAGGGAAGCAGACGCCATGAATAATCATTGCTAATTATGATATTTGCACGTATTTAATTTCTAAAAGTGTCCATGTGACTGAACAGGATCGGCGCTCCAATGCGCAGTCGCTTATATGCGTGTGTTCCTTTGTAATTCGAAGCATCTGCACCGCAGACTATGATTTTCATGCAGAGTTTTATTTTCGCTTTGTAGTTTAAATAATCTCTAAAAAATTATTGTGTCGAAATTTTTGTAAGATCTATCATCACCTTTTGCGATAAGCATGATCAAATATATCGAAATGCCCGATGTCTTTTTGGTCAGGTACCAATATACCAAAAATTACCATGAAAACTATACATAATGAATTGTCCACCCCACGTGCATATATGATGCTCATCAAATATACTGGTAGAAAACGTCTAGATACCGTATACTTAATAAAAACAGATAATCAGAAACGAAAACCCAGGAGGCCTATAGCCTTTTCAAGATACGGTCTCATTTCTGTCGTTATCTCTGATCTGATAATACGTTAAATTTGACAAATATACAGATCAACGAAGCCCGAATTTATAAGCTGCAAGCTTTTCATAGCTTTTTTGAGTTAGTTGAAGTTTTTTCAAAAAGGTTCCCGTCAATTTACAATGATCAAAATGTATTTAAATCAAATGCCTATTGATACGGCAGCGTAATGTCTCGTATAAAACAAACGACTTTAACAACTTAACGCCACCCATACCTGAAAATAGCCGATCCAATGATTGATATCACAACTATAAGTAGGATTTTTTTGGCAAACACCAATTCACTGGTCGAAAATTAGTCTAGAAGAATGCATTTATTTGTTGATAGACAATTCTAGTTTTTCTAATCTATTGGTAGCAAATATGGCAAAACTCTTTTATAAAGAGTTCCCGTGAAGAGTGGTTTAACTAAGTCCTATTTAATTGAAAATGGAATATTTTCCTTTTCCTGCACGCGTTTTTTTTACAGGAAAAATTTCCATGAAGACTGTTCCATTTTGCTCCTTATAATATTTAGGTTAAATTGTTTTATATTTCTAGGAACAAGAATGTCCCGATTGCCATGGGAAAGCGAGGAAAGCCAAAACTACATTCGAGCGGACTACATTGTCACTGATACTGTAAGGAAGGAATTGAGGGATTTCTTTGTTCAGAAATGGAACAAACGTTACCAGGCTTCTCTTGGAGCATGGGATGACACAAACGAAGGTGGTAGTCAGTTGTTTAATCTGGAGAAAAAACGAACAAGGCCAAATAAGTCCATGCTTCAGTCCAAATTTCAAAATGGAAATACAAATGAGTGGGATTGTACTGTACTTTTTGATGCAATTCTTTATTCCAACTCAATCGGTGGTAGTCTTAGTACAACAGAAAAGACTGAAATCGATATTCTTCGAAAACAGCGAAATGAAATAACTCATAATATACCTGAAAAAACGCTAACTAATAAAGACTTTCAAACCATGACAACAAAAGTTGAGAATGCATTGGGTGCATTGGGACTGTCAATCAACGAGGTCGTTCGAATAAAAAACCTGTTTGCGTCATTTATAATTCTTCCCCCTGAACCAGCCCATGATGTCGTTTACTGCTCTGACAAGATACACGAAATAAGAGAAGACATTGAAAAGTTGCGCAGTGATAACGATGGCAAACTTACATATTTTTACATCTCTGGAAATCCAGGCAGTGGAAAATCTCAACTCCCGAGACAAGTTTGTGAAGATATTTGCAAAGATGTTCATGCGAAGGACGAAGCAATGTTTGTGATGACATTGAACGGAAAAGATTTAGATTCTCTTTTTTCTTCATATGAAGATTTTTGTCGTCGGCTGAATTGTAACGAGAGCGCATTGCAAAGTGTTTCAAGTTCATCTAAAACTAAAGAAGAGAAAATCAAAGATTTAAGATCGCAAATATCTTGCAGGATTAAAAATTGGAAAAAGTGGTGGATCATCGTAGACAATGTGGAAAATATAGAACTCATATTTCCACTACTGCCTCTGAAAGGAGACGAAGTTTGGAAGAACGGCCAAGTTATATTAACAACACAAAACACAAATGCTGTTCCACAAGACAGCATTTCAACTAAGCATATCTCACTTATTCATGGAATGAATGGCCAAGAGTGTCGCCAGTTGCTTGTTCTCTTATCAAATACCGAAGTCGATAACCCAATACTAGATGAAGTGGCGGAGAAGTTAGATCGTCAACCACTGGCAATGGCCGCGGCAGCCTTGTATATGAGAGAAGTAACCAATAGTTGCCCAGATTTTTCTTGGCGAGATTATTTACGAAAACTTGAGAAAGGTAAAAGGGGGTTAACAGAAAAACGTCTTCAGCAGATTAATTCAGTAGCATATTCGTCGACCATGAGCACAGCAGTGCTGCTAGCTGTTGAAAAATGTGCAGAAAATAACACAATCCTTGAACATTCAACCTTTTCTCTTTGATATCATTTGAACCACTACCGCTTGATCTTGTTGTAAAGTATGTTCAGCAGCAAGAAGACTTAGAGGCCGAGGATATTATTCCGACATTAAAACACTGCTCGTTGTTTGTTCAAGTTTGTAATGATCGTGATATCCGCCTTCATCGTGTTGTTCATGAAGCTGTTAAAACACTTTTCAACAAAACTAAAGGAGAAAACATTAGCAAAATTATTTCCGACGCTGTAAAAACAATGAGTTCAGTGATAGAGGAGATAAAAGCAAATTAATTCCGCATTTGAAAGCATTTAAGAAGGAAATGAATAACAGCATTTTACCTGATCAAGCGTTATACGTAATCAGTTTCGATTTTGAAAAAACTGAAATTTGCAGAATATACGATTTTTTTGGGAAAACCCTTAACGACTACAGTTCTGACTATAAACTTTCCACTGAATTCCATCAGCTCGCACTGAAAATACGGGTAGAATATTTTAGAGTAAACCACCCGGACGTTGCTACTTCATACGTCAACCTGGGTTTGGCATGTATAACAGGATGTGATCTGGAATGCGCTGCAGATTATTTTAAACGTTCTTTAGAAATTCGATTAGATCGACTAGGACCGAACCATACTCAAGTTGCTATCTCATACAACAAACTGGGTGATGTGTGCAAAAGTAAAGGTGATCTCGATCTTGCTAATGATTATTATCAACGTGCGTTGAAAATTCAATTGGATCGACTGGGACCGAAACATACTAATGTTGCTATCTCATACAGCAACCTGGGTGATGTGTGTAAAAGAAAAGGTGATTTTGATCTTGCTAATGATTATCATCAACGGGCTCTGAAAATTAAATTAGAGAAATGCGAGGCGAACCATACTGACGTGGCCACTTCCTACAACAATTTGGAACAGGTGCGTAATCTGCTTGATTTAAATTCCACGATATTAGAAATTGACGTATTTGCGGCGAGCAATAAATAATTATTGGATGTTGTTGAACGCCATAATTTTTATTAAGAATTATTAAGGCAGATGTTGGTTAGCGGTTGCTTTGAAATCGTGAACGTGAAAATTGCAAAATTCTACTTTTTCTGTACTTCATATGCTAACATGTACAAAGCGGGAGGAAACTAGGGGGATCATTTCTTCTGCAAACGTATTATATTTACGTACAAAAAATCCGTCGGGCAGAACGAAAATATTAACATGTACCATTTATTGACTAAATTATTCTTCAAGCTTCTCCCAAAATGTGAACAAAAAATTCGAAAAGAAATGGGAACAATAAATAGAGACATCCAAAATTAAAGGTTTCGAAGCTAATCTATAAACAGGTCAAATAACTTAAAAGACTTTTCAAAAAAAATTAACTTTCCATATATTTTGCATTTATGAAACATAGCTAACTGACAGAATTGGTGTCAACTGAGTCATTTTGCATGGGTATGACATATTTTGGTACGATAGGATGGTGATACGACGCATGGCGAGAAATTTTGGACACGCACAGGGGGGTTCTAATTTATTCTAACGAATAAATTGTCCTAATTTATTCTAACGAATCACAAGTGAAATACACACGATATATCACATTCTAAATACCCTAAAATGCCACAAAAAAAGTTCGAATATGCCTTAAAACCATGGCAACAAGTCAAGGCTTGGTTGCCTAGCAAATATGGACGATGAAAAACAATTTCAGTTATTTTTTGAAGAGTTTTTTGGGGAAAAAGGTCAGTTTTGATGAAAATATAACGTTGAAATTGCTGATTTTTGAAGCTAAAAACCGCAAGAGATATATATTCTTCACATTTTTGCACTGATGGGTGTTCAAAATCATCGCTCGGAGTTTAGAAAACCGATAGAACATTTTGGTTATCGTGGCCCGATCGCGAGAAAATCTTAGAAGTTCAACGGTCAAAACAACTTTCGACGCTATAAATGGTGTTTTTCTATACTTTAATCGCCGTTAGCTATTTCCTGCAAAACCGCAAGAAGTATTAACATCTAAATATCATCCATGATATCAAAATATCAAGTTTTACGTCTAAAAACAGAATCAGATAGAACATTTTCACATTTTTAAAAAGTTTAGAGGTAAGGCCACATTTTTAATATAACCCTAATAAAGCCGTGTGATTTCGTGTGGCCATATTGTTTCGAATCTCCCGAAGTCTGTGTATCTACCGCGCGTGCGTGTCCAAAATTTCTCGCCATGGATAAGGTTAAAATTTATCAAAGAATAACTCGTTTATATCATAATTATTAAAAACAACGGTTAGTTTAGCAACTTTTGTGCATAGGTAAAATTAGCATAAATTGGCATATTGGGAGAAAGTCGCAAACTGTTTGAAAGTTTATAAATATTATCAAGGTCAAGCTAATAATCATGATATAAACCTGCAGTAGAAATTTTTACAACAATTCAGGCTGAATGATTCCGATGTTGGTAATTTTTAGAATAATCTAGCTATTCAGCGTAAAAAGAATGGTCAACAAACTGCTTCAGTTGGCACAAGAAGACCTCGCCGTAAAAACATATGCAACATCACATGAATACAGGGAAAATATTATCCTAAGAGTTGAAGCAAACGTGTTGAAGCAAACGACCAAGCTGAAGATTTAGAAATGATATCCTGGCAGCAGATCGAAAGAATGGCGAAAAGTTGGAATAATTAGTAAAAACTTTATTTAAGTTCGTTGGGCTTTGTCAACAAAGCGCTGGTTTCAACGAGGAGCGTCATACAGCTTTTACAACTTTGAAGTAAGCCAAATAGAACAGAATCAGGAAATTCAACATATCAGGGAGCATATCAAGCCGCACCAAATCTACGACGTGCATGTGCAGCCGCTATATCAGCAATGGGAGTCAACTTTTAATTTGTTTTACATTATGCTTTGGCATTCTTTATCAAATTGAATGTAAAATTTTGGTTCGTGTTATGTAACTTTAGGAACAAACACAGCATCTCTTTTCGTCCGCCTCGCAGATTTAGTTTATCCTAAGCTCGTGTTGCTGGCAATGTGCCGAAAATTATTTCTAGAACGCTTTACGAGTCACTGATAGATGCTGGCACTCTTTAACTTTAATCTTTTACAGCGAATGAACCTTTTTGATTATTACAGAGACTTAAAAAATCTAATAAGAGAAACACATGCAACCAACGCGCGAAGCTGTCAGTAATTTATTTGACGCTATAAATGACCCGGTTATCCTTGATAGTCATGAAAAATTCAAATTTTTGCCTTGAAACAGAGAAATCTGGCCCATTAATTACTTCTCTTCTTCTCCGATGTTTTTTGTCAAATGTCCCGATATACCGTCATACTATTGTCGGTGATTTCAACAAAATAACTAATACAACATGTGACTTCCTACAAGTGCTTGACCCAGAGAAGATTTGTGATTCAGGTTTTCTTTTTACAGCATAATTAGATCCGTGAAAATTGATGGTAGTGAGTTTAAAAATTAACGAATCTCAAAAGAGAATTATAATAATTAAAATGCAATTTAAAAATTGTAAACATTTCCGTCGGTATTATTGCAATCACGACTGATTTTCACATTTGTTTTATGAACAGTCTTTTCCCCCTTCTCTGCAAGCATGGCGAATTATCCAAGAATATTCATTTTCATGGCTTAATCACTATCATGTGGGGATAAAAATCAAACGGGCATGTACAGAACGATTAAATGTATAGAACTAATCACTCGCCCTGAAGTTTGAACATCCCAGTTTTCCCTACCTATACACGCACTCCAAAATTGTGTGAAAAATAAACCCATGATTTACGTATATCAAAAAGAGCGTCTTCTTGACCCATGAGTGCTTCCACAGGCGACTTGTAATTTCTACAGTGTGTCAAACGTGATAGATCCGAAATGGTTGCCAATTAAGAGCATGCTTTCAACCTTTTCTCTTTGATATCATTTGAACCACTACCACTTGATCTTGTGGTAAAATATGTTCAGCAGCAAGAAGACTTAGAGGCCGAGGATATTATTCCGACATTAAAACACTGCTCGTTGTTTGTTCAAATTTGTAAGGATGGTGATATCCGCCTTCATCGTGTTGTTCATGAAGCTGTTAAAACACTTTTCAACAAACTAAAGGAGATAATATTTCCGATACTGAAGTTCCAAAAAAGAGAAGAAAAATAACTCAAAATATTACGAAAGTGATTAAAGACGTTGTGAAAACAATGAGTTACTTCAATGATAGAGAAGATAAAAGCAAATTAATTCCGCATTTGAAAGCATTTAAGAAGGAAGTGAATAATAACAACATTTTACCTGATCAAGCGTTATATGTCATCAGTTTCGATTTTGAAAAAACTGAAATTTGCAGAATATACGATTTTTTGGGGGAAACCCTTAACTATTACAGTTCTGACTATAAGCTTTCCACTGAATTCTATCAGCTCGCACTGAAAATACGGGTAGAATATTTTGGAGAAAATCACACGCACGTTGCTACTTCATACGCCAACCTGGGTTCGGCATGCATAACAGGATGTGATCTTGATCTTGCTAATGATTATTATCAACGTGCGTTGAAAACTCAATTGGATCGACTAGGACCGAAACATATTAATGTTGCTATGTCATACAGCAACCTGGGTGATGTGTGTAAAAGTAAAGATGATCTTGATCGTGCTAAAGATTATTATAAACGTGCGTTGGAAATTGAATTGGATCTACTAGGACCGAAACATACGAATGTTGCTACCTCATACTGCAACCTGGGTAGTTTGTGTCAAATTAAAGGTGATCTTGGTCTTGCTAATGATTATTATCAACGTGCCTTGGAAATTGAATTTGATCGACTAGGACCGAAACATCCTCATGTTGCTATCTCATACAACAATCTGGGTAGTGTGTGTAAAAGTAAAGGTGATCTTGACCGTGCTAATAGACAGATTTAGATTGAGGACGCGGACGTCAAGAGGACGTGAAATTGCGCGCAAAGGTCTGGGTCGAGAACGCCGTCGTGTCGAGTACCAAAACAGATTTAGATTGTGTAATCAGGACGTCAAGAAGACGTTTAAAGCGTATTAGAATACAATGCAGTAAATGAAAAAGATTCCTTTCACAGGCCCAGACTCACCTAATTTTTCATGATTTTTTCCGACAAATTTGATGGGAAAATTGGATGTTAATGCAAAACAGACATGGTAAAAACCACAACCAAATATTGACAATGTTTTAAATTTATGAACAAGTTATAAAATCGTATAAAGTTTATTTTATACAATGTGCCTAGATTGTGACTAAAATAGCTGAAGTGAACTTGTAGCTTTAATATTTTGTTTTAATGATTATCCTTTGTGATTGTTCACAATACACATAATTGATTTTGAAATAAATTTGCCGTTGAATGTCTGCAGTGTACTCAAATTTCGTGATGCTGTCGTGATGTTTTATGGTTTTAGCTGTTTTTTATACGAAATAGTTTATGCCAATAGCTGTGCCAATAGTTTGTGATGGCCCTTGGTGGCTTACAATCTGTTCGCGATGCTTTAATGCTTGCCAGAGAAAAGCAGTATATTTCTAATACCGAATTTATTTTACTGTTTGAATATAATTTATCCAAACCATTATTTCCATACTGGAAATTTGAATCATTTGATCTGGATTCTTGGGATGATGAAGAATGCAAGATTGAGCTGAGATTTGCCAAGTCACAGCTGGCCTTGTTACAGCGTTTGCTCAGAATTCCTGACAAGATCACTTGCCAGCAAGGAACTACATGCTCTGGTAGAGAAGGACTATGCATATTTCTTAAACGACTAGCTTACCCATGCAGGTATTCCGACATGGCTATTCGTTTTGGTAGAAACCCATCCGAGATATGCCTCATATTTAATAAGGTTCTAGAATTGGTCTATGATGCAAACCATCACCGCCTGGAGAGTTGGAATCAACCTTTTTTGTCACAAGAGCTGCTACAGACTTGTGCTGATGCAGTACATGACAAGGGTACCCCATTGGAAAACTGCTTTGGATTTATTGATGGCACAGTTCGCCCAATAGCTCGTCCAAAATACTACCAGAGAGAAGTGTACAATGGTCACAAGAGGGTGCATTCGATTAAATTTCAGAGTGTTGTACTGCCGAATGGTCTTATTGCTAATCTTGCTGGGCCTTATGAAGGTAAAAGACATGATAGTACAATGCTTCGTGAGTCACAGCTGCTAGCTTCTTTAAGGGAGGTTGCCTTCTACAACAACCAACCACTCTGTCTTTATGGTGATCCATCCTACCCATTGGGGATACATTTGCAAGCACCATTTAGAAATAGGGAGCTTACACCTGAAATGAGGGAGTTTAACAAAGCTATGAGTGCTGTGAGAGTCTCGGTAGAGTGGATGTTTGGTAACATCACGAAATATTTTAGCTTTGTGGATTTTAAAAGGCAGATGAAAGTACATTTAAGTGCAATCGGAAAGATCTATTGTGCCTCTGCATTACTCCAGAATGCCCATACCTGTCTGTATGAGAATATTGTCTCTCAAACATTTCAGCTGCAACAACCAACAATTTATGAATATTTTTGGTGATATTTCACTAACAATGTCTCATGGCTGTAGCTTTGGGAGGGAATAGTTGAGAAGAGTGACATCCCTCTGATATTAGCTGACCTGACACCAAAATGACAAATTTATTGGCAAATCATTCTATACTCTGCCAAAAATATTTCAGTGACTCAGATCAAAAGTAATAGTTACAGCAAAACATATAAATAACACTGCATTAATTAGAAAGTTTGAGAAAAATGGTATCTCTACCAAAAATTTTACCCCCCCCCCTTTTCAACAATTTTGGTAAAGGAAATGTTATTTCTGGGCAGATTATGACATAGACAGATATAGACAAAATATTACACATTAATTAATTGGCATGAAGAGTTTGACCTTTAAATAAAGTTGTAAACCTGATCTGATTTCCATCAACTGATCAGTGTCGTCTTCCATATCAATCAATTCTTCCAGCAACATTTCGTCTTCAGTCAGCTCAGCACCACCTTCACCTGTTGATCTCTCTTCTCTGGCCATTCTAGCTCGATATTTTTTTTATATCATCTTATAGTGGTCTCTTACTGCCCTTGATGTGACATCTTGACCCATAGCACTCATGTTGTCAGCCACCTTTTGCCACTGCATTCCCCGTTCCCTCGACCTTTGCTTGTGGACAAGAACACCCTCTGCGGCAACCTCTTTCAGCAATTCAAGGTCTTTTGCTTTTGACCAAACCATACTGCACCTAGTAAAATATTTAGTCACAATACTAGCAATATAAATAGCATTGTACTCTAGTCAGACATCATACCATTGATACCAACAACTTCGTAATAATTTTAATAATTTTGCAGGTCGGATTTTTAGTTACCTTTTTTTTGGGCAGTCACCTTCCTTGTCTTCCATAGCAAGAGAATTAGCTGTAAAAAATCACAGTTATCTTTAGTTTATATCTTTGTATAGTAATTACTAAATTACAGCAAACAAGGTACTAGTACACTAAATCGATGTTTAATACTAAAATAATATGAAAAGTGATATATAAAAACTATGAAAACTATCTCTGAAAACAAAAGTAAAACCGTATGCCCAAACATTACGGCATTAAGCGAATTCGTGGTTTATGTTTTTGAGTTTACACTGTGACTGTATATATGTTTGTTTATATAACCAAATACCGAAACCACTGCAAAACCGGAAACAAATTTTGCCAAGTAAATTATGCAAATTAAATCAGCTTGATCTGCATTATATACGAAATCAACAAAGACAGTAATTTGTAACAAAGAATAAATTATGACTTTTATTCCTTTACATACCTTTTTTCAGGAACAAAATAAACAAAAAAACTTGACGTCCTAGGCACGACGTGAAAACTTGCTTTTGCCGTCCTGAAAATCACGAAAACGACGTCGCTATAAACACAACACCATATTTTCGCGCCATATTACGCCATTCAACGTCCTCTTGACGTCCGCGTCCTCAATCTAAATCTGTCTAATGATTATTATCAACGTGCGTTTGAAATTAAATTGGATCAACTAGGACCGAA